GTTTTGCATAATTACCTAGGCCTAACTACAAAAAATATACGCTTTCTGGGGAAAGCACAGAGAGTAAGGAAAAGCGCGTTTCTCGGGGCGTTTGATCAAATGAAACAGGGTGACAGATATTTTCAAATTAAGAAAAGAGCTGAGAAGAGGCGGCTCTAAAATACTGGATGGCATAAGACCTGCCAAAATGGCAGAGCACCAATGAATGTATAAATGAGGCCTAAGCCTTATTAATATCAGGCATAGTAATCTGCAAATTCTTGACTACATGACTAGACCAGGTTAATTACATGTAATGCCGAAATGATTATTTATTATTATTATTATTGTTATTATGTTACTAAAACCAACCTGTAGGCCTACCTTAAGGGGAACTTAGACAATCGAGGAATTAGAAAACAATTAAAAAATCGACGTTAAGGGGAAATAACAGAAAAGATATTCCCCCTGGGCTAGTTATTAATTATAGGCCTAGTAAATAGTATACAAGGCTTAGGTCAAGGTAATTATTGCTGAAATTATTATTATTGTTATTATTATTATTTATTATTATTATTTAACATTAATTACATTACAAGGATTTTTTTTTCGACGATAAGGGAAATAACACAAAAGATATTCAACCTGGGCTAGTTATTATTTATAGGCCTAGTAAATAGTATGGTTCTTCATTACAAGGCTTAGGTCAAGGTAATTAATGCTGAAATTATTATTATTATTATTATTTAACATTAATTACATTACAAGGATAGATTGGTCAAGTTTAATAACGCCGCCGAATGGTATATTTTATTTATTTAATAATATTCCTCTTATGCACTCTATTTTTTATTTCATGCTTTAATTTTTTCCCCATTTTTTTCCTTCAAAATTTCAATCAACGTCTGTATGTAAAGCGTGACTGTTGGTGTCAGCCTAGAACCCTAGGCCTATACTAGGTAGGACTTAACTTAGCATGTAGTTAGGCCCATAGTTTATTCTCTTTCACTCTATCCTCTGGTATTACTGTACCTATCAACACTTTATAAAAGGGATTACTAGCTGTTGTTGTTGTAGATATTATACCAACATTTAATAAACATCCAAGAAGGTCACAGTTAAGTTACACACGTACATCCCATATATCCGTAAGATATCATAAGCCTACCGTAGGTAAACATAGAAAGAGCAATAATAGTAAAACTCGAGCGTCACGACATTGCAAAGTGTCTGCTCTTGTTCCTCGTATCGAACTTAGTCGAGTCAATCCGAGATGGCCCGAGTGAAGTTTCATGCAAATGTTTCGTACGGAAAAAAAAATCGCCGTTCGGTTAAGCTGAGATATGTTTGTTTAAGTGTCAAATTCTCTGTCAGAATCAGTTTTTTAACAAATTTGAAATAATTCCTATGAAATATTATATTTCACAAGTGTCAATACTAGCAACGGAAAATATCATGTCGGCCGTTTTTATGTGTGATAACAGAACCTAAATCGAGGTAAGGCTAGGCCTATCCTAGCAGCGTTGGATTGGCTAATGTTTTCGGCGCCTACGATATTTCTTCTCACGACCTATCGCAAAATCAAACATGAAAAATTCATCCGCATTTATTTTTTGTGTGGAACACAAAAACAAATCAAATTTCAGTCTTATTTTACATTTTTTTTCATTCTTAGGAATGTCTAAATTCAGTTAAACTAGCAATTCCGTATTATATTTATAAATCTTTATAACATTATACAAAAATTAGATTTTTCTTAAAAACTGAAATTTTGCCGGGAATGGGGCTTTAACTAAATAGTATAGTTGCACTCTTAACTTTATTATTTGAAAAGGTAGAGTTCGATAATTATACGTAATCGAAATATCAAAGAAAAAAAAGTGTTTGTCTCTAGCTTCGTGGTGTAGGTGACGACATTAGGCCAACAGATTGCTGTTAATGCTTTTTCTTAATCATGTAAATAATCAATAAATTGGCCTATAATAATTTATATCATAATATTAGAGTTACCATTATATTATAAGACGTTCCCTATTTTGTGTTGGTCCTGCTGGCCCATGGTTTCCTCTTTAATTTAATTCAGTTTACAGTGGCGAATACAGGAATTTTGAAATAGAGGGGGCCCATTTTTTCATTTTTTTTTTCATTTATTGGTAAAAAAACAGTCAGAAGGCAACATAAAAATGTTGAAAAATGATCTGAATTTACAATGTAAGCAGAAGAAAAAGAGGGACTTTCACAAATGGAGGGTCTATACTACCTCATCCCTACCATGGTTGAGCATTAATGATTAGGCACCTAGGTGGCCGGAAATGGCACTCTTAGATTCAAAAATTTCTTTTTTTTTTCTCCTCATTTCTTTTTATTTCAAAAATGTAGGTTGGGGAGGGGGTACGGGCCGACTGCCTCCATCCCCGTGAATCTGGCACTGGTTTATTTCTTGAATATCTAATAAATAAATAAATAATATTATTATCCTGAGTGTTGGGTCCACAACAGTTGAAGAGTCGTCTACTGCCCTACTGTCTACTTATATTATAAGACTTTCCCACTTTTGTGTTTGGCCTAGGCCTACTGGCCCATGGTTTCCTATTTAATCGTAAGTCAGTTGAACATTAATGATTATGGCATGTATAGATGGCCGGAAATGGCACTCTAAGATTCAAAATTTTCTTTTTTTATCATTTCTTTATATTTGAAAAATGTAGGTAGGGGGGGGGGTAGGGTGCGGGCCGACTTCGCCCATCCACGTGAATCTGGCACTAGCTTTTGTGTTTAATATCTAATATATAAATAAATAATATTATTAACCTGAGTGTTGGGTCTACAACAGTCTACTTATAAGACTTTCCCACTTTTGTGTTTGGCCAACTGGCCCATGGTTTCCTCTTTAATCATAAGTCAGTTTACAGTGGCGGATACAGGAATTTTAAATAGAGGGGCCCCAAAGAGGGCAGGGGTGGCGCCAGAGGGGGGGGGCAGGGCCGCCCGTCGGGGAGAGCTGCCCCCCACCCATCGGGGAGAAAAAGCACAATTCGTCGGGGAGAAAAAAAAATTATATGTATTTTCTACATATTAGTAGACTCTAAAATCGATTAAATAAGCCTTTGAAACCCCTAAATTGTCAAAATTTTCGTGAGCTTCGCCCCAGGACCACTTTCTAAACCTTTTGATCGAAGCTCGACCACGCCCACTTTGGTTTTGTCGGGAAAATCTGACCCCTCGTCATGTAAGTGGGGGGGGGGAGGGTGCGGGCCGGCTCACTCCCTTGTGTGTTGAATATCTAGTATATAAATAAATAATATTATTAACCTGAGTGTTGGGTCTACAACAGTTGAAGGATCGTCTACTGCCCCCATCCGACAAGTTCCAACAGGATGATAAACAGTTGATGCCATGTAACGTACGAAATGTTGTCGATATTCTTCACTGGCTTTATCCGGTGGACTGTCAGGAAACTCAGGAAACTTGAATTCATGTCTAATACAAATATAGATAAAATTAAGACCAGAATATGTGTCCTACAGTTAGCTATTTTTAAAAACATATCCCAACGTTTGTGTTAGGTTTATTTTATTTAATGGCACAGAAAGTATCGGTGTATGAACTATTTAGTGTAGTTCCAGCTACATCGACGACAATAAAATAATCCATGAAAAAGTGTAAAGTAACATTTGATATTGATGGTAGATAAGTCAAAGTTTTTGGTACTGGCTTTTATTTGAGCCCCTGTAAGTAATGAACTAGTGAGTCCTCACTGGAGGTTCAAAGTGCTGTTTCCTCTGCTTCAGGTTAGTTTAAAAGATTGTTTTTGATTACCTAGTTTCCCGAAACCTTTCATTTTTCGCTCTTCGCCTGGAGCATTTCTTTAAATGAATATGAAGGCTAATTTATTAGTATTTATTCTGTCTCTTATACACATCTAGATGTGTATAAGAGACAGATACTATCTCATCCCTACCATGGTTGAGCATTAATGATTAGGCACCTAGGTGGCCGGAAATGGCACTCTTAGATTCAAAAATTTCTTTTTTTTTTCTCCTCATTTCTTTTTATTTCAAAAAGTGTTATACGAAACGGTTGGTACGCCCTGGCTTTTTAAGTTACGTTTCTACGTGAATAATAATAATAATAATAATAATAATAATATCAATAATACGGTAATAATTTAGATTTTCAATAGCGCCTTACACTAATAAAAGTCCCAACGCGCTTAACAATGATTGTATGTATTTATTTATTTTAATTTTAATTACTTTAATTATTTTTGTTTATTATTATATATTTTATTATAAATTTAAACAATAACACAAAAAGGAGAAAACAATCAAACAGTGGTTAGCTAACCAGTGAGGCGTGCCGTTGACCCGCAATTTAAGGGCACAAAAAACAATAATAATAATAATAATAATAATAATAATAATAATAATAATAATAATAATAATAAAATTATTAATAATAATAGGCCTAATAAGAATATAACAACATACAAATTCAATAATAAAAGGATTGGGGAAGCACAATATAAAAACATTCAAATAAATAAAAATATAAATTTAAAAAATAAAAAAATAAATAAAAATAAAAAAAAAAATAAAAAAAGAAAAAAAAAAAAAAAAAAAAAGAAAAAAAAAAATAAAAAAAAAAAAAATAAAAAAAAATGAAAGAGCCCATGGCAATATTTGATTTGATTTGCCTAGAGACGATTGGGCCAATATGCAATTCTGAAAATTACAAACTGCGGCCCGCGCCCTACGGCGCTTGCTCTTGGCATTGACTTTGCTCCTTTGCCGTTTTGGTCTATGCCTATTGTCGTTTTGGTACTTGCCATTGCCGTTTTTGTCTGTTGCCGTTTTAGTACTTATCATTTCCGTTTTGGTTTATTTATTTTAACCTGCTACCCTCTACATGAGCCCTGTTCGTATAACAACCTACACAGTGGATTAGGCTGTGATACATCCTCAGCACAACAATTGTAAACGGGTGTAGCGAATCATTTGCATACCAATAAAAACACACAGCTGCATGTGAACAAGCAAATGAGCACACAAAAGCAGGGAACAAAGGCTACAAAGGCCACACAGAACAGGAATTAGAACAATCACTGTGCCAAGTTGGAGCCTATCTGGTAGGGAAAATAAATTGCAGCAATAATTCACAAAAACAAACAGTAAAGGTAGATCTCAATACATATACACTTTGTAAAAAAGACCATCAAAAACAACAGTAGGCCTACTTGGTATTGAAGTGTTCTACAAAACCATAAACATCTGAAAAGTACAATTACCAGCAATAGCTAATCACTGCCCTTGGCTTATTTCTTTAGAGTTTAGACTATTTTTATCTCACTATAGCTACTGACTAGTTTCCGTAGTAAAACGTCTGTAAGTCAGTAACATACTATTACAAAATCTTTTATCTTAATTAAAAGGTAGTTGATATTATAAATGTGCTCTTACCCGAATGATTTAAAAGAATCTGATGAAAATATCTTCTCACAAATCTCGGTTCCCTGTTTAAAAACAACGAACATTATTACATGAAAAAAAGCAAGATTAATGGTATCTAACAGGTACATTACCTACAAGAGCTAAAATGACTAAATTTCTCCATAGAACATTTAATCAAATCTGAAAAATACATATTTTAAGTTGTTTGCAACTATATACCCGTACCTTAACCAGAAGCCTATACAATAACTATTGAGCATATACAATAACTATTGAGTTGTCCGAGATTGGATAATGTCAACAACCTTTACGGTACAATTTTCCCAGGATCATCAAAATAACTTTAAACAGAAAACAGCTCATGTTTTTGTGTTTAACCGAGGTAATTTAATCGTTTTACCAAGTGCGTTTACGAACAGTTTTCCAGACTGTGGGATACGGAAATACAACAAAAGGTGCACTATATAACTGAAGTAGGCCTAGAAAACTACACCATTACAAAAACACAAGGATCCCCTCTATCGGCACTACTTTTTATATTAGTTTAAGTAATGGCCATTGTTATATTGATTGTAGAAAAGTTCTGCACCACGTCTGGCATGAAACTCAATAAAGCTAAAAGAGAAGGACTCTGGATTGGCGCTTCTAAGGGCTGCAATAACCCAGCTGAGATAAACTGGCCAAACCCGCCTATAAAAAATCTTGGAGTCTATGTGGGACACAATAAAGAAATTTGCTGTCAGAAAAATTGGGTAGATAAAGTTATTCAACTAAATCGCACATTAGCATGGAAAATAAGAAAATTAACTTTTTTTGGCAGGGTGACTTTTATACTGAAATGTTTAGGCCTCTCAAAATTAATAGGCCTATATATTGATAGCGTACTTGAAGTACCTGACTCGATTTTAAGATTTTAAAAGAGGTCGAGTCTATTATTTTTAATTGACTGGAATAATAAAAAAAGAAAAGATAAAACAAAAATCAATTTAGAATCAATATGCACAGCCTTGCTTATATCGTGAGTAAAACGATTGTTAAATAAAGAAGAATCCAATTGGAAAGAAAGCCCGGCCCAGCCCCTCTAAATTTGCCAAATTAAAAAAAAATAATAAAACAGAAAATTCGACTAAATTTTTAAGTCTAGGAGTGCCATTTCCAGCCATCTAGAGGTGTCATAAATTGTCTTACCTCAGCCCAATCATGGTGGGGCTAAGGAAGTATAGACCCTCCACACGTGAATGTCCCTCTCCAGGCCCCCTCTATTTCAATTCCTGGATCCGCCACTGGTTCTTGGTGTACCGCAAGTAAGACAGATCATTATGAATCACTCTCTCCCTCATCTGTTTATCACTTGCATATTCATATGTACAGTATTATATGTATATATAAAGGGAGATAAATTCATGTACTGTATACACATATTATATAAAGGATATATCATTTCTTTTTCCCCACCAAATGGAGAGTTTATGGGAAACAGCAGCATCGTTCATGTGAATTGCTGTGATAAAACTTAATTGTTCGCTAGTTTGATTTTGGAGTCATCAATGGAGATCTTCCATGGCAGCTAATGCTCTTAATCTTCAAACCAAGGACCTCCTCTCATTTATGTTGTTTGCTGATTTCCTCCATGGCTCTTCACACTCAAATTGGTGGGGATTCTGCACCAAGTCTTTTGAGGTTAACTCAAGTCCTTTTTTCCAAGTTTACAACTTTTTGGTTACTGAAAAGGCAGTCAAGAAACTGCTTAATGTACAAAGTTAATTGCTTGGACCATCAGTCTACGATCCAAGTTGGTTGGTTGGGGTGCTGTAACGGAGCTTTTGTAGCATAATGATTAACTGGAATTGTCTGTTTATTGAAAGATGTAGGTAGAAGATTTAAACTACCATGATTACTGTTTTTGTTTGCGAGCTTAATTGTATGGACATTTTATCTCAGGTTTTCAGGAACAATACCAGTGTGTCGAATGTTTTTAACTGGTTTTGTCATCGGCACATAATAACTCTTATTTCATTTTTCAAAACAAGGTAAACTTTTTTGTGAATTGAAACTATGGCTCCATGGAGCAGTGTATAACATGCACCAGAGTACTGCATGCTACAGGCACTGCTGGTGATGTTCGGACAGTTGTAGTATTCATCCCATTCAGTCCCTGCTAACCTTAATAGGGTTTACATGAGATAGTGTCTTAATAACCATCACATTGGTTTGTTGAAGAAGTGTTAGGATATGATCCAGTATGATGCCAAAATATCGTAGTACCTAATCTTGAGTCCCCCTGTTGACGAAGCAATTCTTAACTGGGAGATCAGATCAGATCTGAGGGGGTTTTTTTTGTTTTTATTAAAACCATATTTATAGAGGGTGACCCTTCCAGCATATCCTACAAGGTCAGCTGATATTCAGGGGCCCTCTTTAAATAATTTAAATAAATGAAATAATGTGATGCTTTTATCGGCAAAGTCTCTTTATGAGGCTTAGGGATTGGAGTTGTTTTAGTCTGAGAAAAAGTCCTGTCGTGACAGGAATTGAACCCCGGACCTTGGGTTTGCTGAGAACAAGGTGACATTATGGAAAGTATTAAGTGCAACATCAACTTAGGCAGATATGTTAACACCATCAAGTTAGTGGTTTCTACTACACTGTCCATTACAGATCTCAAGAAGGAAAGGTCTGTCAAGTAATGGAAAATCTCAACAAACACTGCAAACTGGTAGACCTTTCATTTCACTCCGATATACTCCTAATTTCGGAGTCCTTTAGGAGGTCATTTTTACACACCAGAACCAAATCAAAGGAAGGCCACTACTATAGCACCGCTGCAACACTACAAGACCACAAACTGTCTCAGTCAAAAAAGGCTGAGATGGTTTTGCTCAGCTAAAATCAGTGTTTTGCTCTCTGCTGTTAGTTTGAACTCTAAATGTCAAATGGATCATTCGTGACAAGATTTGTAACAAATTATTCAACTGTAGCGGCTTTAATATATTTTGTAGAGCACCGCCTCTTCAAGAGTAGAATTTGTGTGTCAAAATGTTAACTTGTAAGAAACATACATTGGTACCAGATGCAAAATACATTTAATTGAACTTTTTTTCTAAATTGAACACAAGGTCTGAGTTTTTAAATCAGAATGCCACAGCAATACTTTTGTCAGACTGCTAGTGTTTATCTACAGAGAGTGTAAATCTCGTAGAAGTGATTTGAATGAATGGATTTGTGTATCAAATTTTTCATGGCACCATTCCACAGAGGGAGGATCCAGACTTTTTTAAACGAGGGGGCAACAATTTCATATAGGCCTAAATGATTATTATTATTATTATTATTATTATTATTATTATTATTATTAATATTATACAGATATATGTCTATTAATGGCATGATTGATGTTAAGTACATGCTGTTACACTTAGTATTTGTATGCGATTTTGTATTTTCACTCTTAACAAAAAAAAAAAAGACGACAATGGCAAAACAGGGGAACGTTCCCCTCCCTAAATCTGCCTCTGTCCAACAATGTGGAAACCAAGGAACAAAATGTTGTGGCTATGGCAACTAGATGGCCAGAAAACGCATTCACAGTCTTAGGCCTAAATTTGAATAATACCTTTCCTCTTTTATCTCCATTTCTTAATTTTCAAAGAAGTTTGTGGAGGGGCCTGGCCCGGGACGGGGTGGTGGGAATTAAGGGGCGAAGGTTAAGTGTCAGTGCTCAGTGATTAAGTTAGGGAGATTCAGATGGAAAAATATGGTGATATGTGGCAATTTTGTGAATACTTCAGGGGAGGTGTGTGGGGGAGCAAAATTTCTGGGAGGGGGATTATTTCTTGTGCTCTTATTTTCTTCCCAATGCAGCACTGATCCCATTATATGATATCAGATTTATAAAAAAAATGACTATTGTATGATATATAAATGAATAACGATGATCGAATTGCAATTTTTTTTGTTAAAACTAATTTTGGCTAATAACTAGTAATGGAGGCCCTAGAAGTGAATAAAAAAACTGGCACCCATTTTTTCCTAATCAGTGAATTTTTTAGATATGTTTAGACATGTTTGCCAGGAATCTGCCCAAAAAATTGAAAAAGTTAAAATATATGACATAAGACTATAATATATATGAAATATGACTATAATCCTTATATCAAAATTAATGAAAAGGCACTAATACTTCAAAGAGTGGATACGCGCTGGTATTATTGAATTAGAAGATTTTTTAATAAACTCAGAAATATTATCCGAAACACAATCAAAGCAAGATTAGATATTAAAAGAAATTGGATTGCACAATACTTTCAAATAAAAAAAGCCATTCCTAAAAGTTGGTTGAACAAATTGATAAAAGACAAATAGGAGGCACATGCTAAACCCTGTATTTATGTAGATAAATTAAACAACTACATAAATATAGAAAAAAAAATTAGCACTAAAGAGTGTAAACAATATTTAGTTCAAAGAAAATCAATAAAACCAAAATATGAAGGTAAATGGAATGAGATATTTACAGATAATAACATTGATTGTTAAACAAGACTCCGAAGATAGCTGAATTTAACTTCAAATTACACATAGAATTTCACCAACTAAGAAAAGGTTATATCTATGGAAATCAGATGATTCATTATCGTGTGTACATTGCGCAATAATTGTTGACGAAGAACACATGTTAACGACGTGCAAAAGTTTTGGCAACTATTGGAGTAATGTTGCACATTTAAAAATTAAATTAATATTACCGGTATTTTAAAAAATGTTGTATTGGGTATAAATACACAAAACGGTCTAATAGAGCAAAAATAAACCATATACTTATATGGCTCTGTATGCATTTACATTAGTGTCACGGGACATAGCAACTCTAGGCGGAGAGGAACCTAGAAATGTGTTGCATGTAGAGAGTTTGGGAACTGAAAGTCTCGACGTGTTAGTTATCTCTTTGAATATTAATGTCATTGTTCGGTCAGTGTAACCTATACCACGGTACAGCAGCTTTCAGTTTTCATAGTGGTCAATATGAAATGGTACATTTTGATTCCTTTACACATGGAACCTACAATTGTCAATATAATTTGGGGTCATATTTGGTATATGGGATTCCGATACTTGTAAGAAGTTTTGAATACCAAAAAGTTTCAGGAACATCTAAAACTGAGGGAAATAGGAATAGGGTTTTAAAAAAACTAGGCTCCGGAGAAAAACGTATTTTGATATGATGTATAACTGATTTTTCTAAGATACGAGATATGATTTTTAATTTTTAAATTTAAAAACGGGGGAACCAATGTTTAAAATAGGTAGTTACGCCCCCTTTTCTACGTTTTTAAATATTCAAAAATCTGTATTCTATTAACCGTTCCCAAGTTTTTCGTCAACCACCATTGTTGTGTTTCATAAAATTCAGTTGTAGTACATAACATGTCAAAATATTTTGTTTCCTCCGGAGTCTGGTTTTAAACAGAGGTTTGGTTAAAACATTATAAGAAAACGTTATGACTACTGCTAGGCCTATATATGATATCTGTCGATTGACACTGTTTTCAAACTCAAGTAATAGTATAAAAAAAAATAAAACCATTACAGTCCTGGTACTGTTAATATTGATTATTGTAAAAGTGTTCGGAGTACCTTGACAAGTACGTCGACATCTCGCTGGTCGGCAAGATAGTTTGGATTAATGATAGGTGGCGCTGTAGGATTATTGCTTGCTAACTTGATGTAGCCTCTGCTGTATGGATGTAGCAGTGTAGGCAACAAGGTAATCCCTTCGATATCACAAGCTTCACTTTCAGTGTAATCGTAATCCAATATGGCTTTGTATCTGAAAAATATGCATTAATTGTTCAGACAATAACATTACGTAGTGACGAAATCATATACAATCATCACATACATAATAGTCACGTTAACATAGTCTATAATAGAACTGGGATTTGATTTATTCGGTGTCAATCACATAACCCACGAAAGCCTTCGTAGGGGGAGGGGTCCTTTCTTTGTGGTAATTGGACTATACATCGTGAGACAAAGAGTGTACTCTGCGTTCTTTAACGTCCACCCGGGACCAACGCTTACACTTGTCATCGAAAGACGGTGCGCTTTTTAAACGTGCGTTTCAGCCCGGAAGCTAATGCACAAGCAGAGAAGCGGATGACATCGAACCACTAAGGCAGCGCCACGGTTCAGCAGTGACTATCACCAGTTAGCCGACTGATTCCTGAAATTTAATCAGCTGTGTGTTATAGGCCTACTAATTCGCTTGTAAATAAAAAAAATTTACTTGTACTGTATAACCAAGTATAAAACGAAGTACACAGTACTTTACATTTTGATTCACAAACTTATCAACTGACAAGTCTGTATAGAATTATCCCTAATTAAATAGCCTAATGGGCAAAAACATTGGTATTTGTTATAATCTTCGTCGAGTTATAATTGATTGTGTAAAGACATATCTACAATGTGGTCGGTTAGGCCTAAAAAAAAACTTGTTCGTTTGCCGCCATCCGCCACCCCTAAAATCCCGAATATTAGGGGCGGTTTTTTTTTTCGAAAACGTTAGTCTTTTTAAGTGTAAAAGATCAAATGAAAACCACTTTGTCGTCGATTTTGGCACAGATCCGTGTTACATGGAAATGTTTACTATTTGATTTTTTTTTTTTTTTTTTTTTTTTTTTTTTCAAAATTTAACGATTTTTTTTTATTTATACTTTAAAAAAAAAAAAAAAAAAAAAAAAAAAATGAAAAAACAAAACTTTTTTCAACCCGCCCCGGTATTCAAATTTTTACAATGTGACAGCAAACAAACAAGTTTTATTTAGGCCTTATTTGTAAATTTCTCTACCATGCTTGATAGGTTTTTGTCGAGGGTGAGGTTTGGCTAATTCCATAGGGA